AGTATAGATTATTTTTTTTAATTTAATTTAAGTTTAATAATGAAATAATTTATTTTTAGTTTAATAATATAACATTTTATAAAGATAATAATTAAGTATTTTGTTAAAACTCAATGATTATCCTAATTATATTTTAGATTTTTTATATTTAAAATGAGATGTTTATCCTGTATTGGATTATGTTTATCTGCAGTTAGTTATACGAATTCAGTTATGGGATAAAATCGGATAGGGATGAAATCGTTTAGCGATGAACGGGTTTAAGAGTTTTAAGAGTTTTAAGAGTTTAAGAGTTTTTAAGAGTTTTAGCCAAATGCTTTATAATATAGTATAGACTAGAACGGTACTCGCGCAATACAGCGAGATAAATCTTCATTTTAATATTTAGTTTTTATTTTGTCTCTATCGATATAATACGATTTTATGTAGTTTTAAGAAAACGATAATATTTTTATTTTTGAATGAAATATAAATTTGAATATAACATAAAAATTTGAAAAAAAATAAATCGATATTAGTATCTAATAGTTCTTCGTTTTTTTTTGTATAACTTTTTTAATTCAATTTTTTATTATAAGTTAATTTAAATTTAAACAAAGTAATTTATTTCTGGTTTAATAATATAATTTTTTATAAAAATTATAATTAAATATTCTGTTAGAACTCAATAATTATCTTAATTATATTTTAAATTTTTTATATTTAAAATAGATACTTATTTTGTATTTGATTATGTTTAACTGGTTTCACAAATTTAAAGATTGAGTTTTAATAAATTGTATTTATACAAAATTAGTTGTAATTCAAGGGTACAAAGGTGTTTTTGCAGTGGATCGAAAAGAATGCATCAGGTATTTACAGCAAAGACATGGCGCCTTTCATTTCAAATTAACGCTTTCTACTGATCACACATACAAACTCTTGTTGATTTCCCTTTCGATATTCGAATCTAGGGTTCATAACCGGAGAGAAAAATGATTGTCAGAACACCTCTACTTAAAAAACGAAGGCCTGAAACGACCGGTAACTCGGAGAGCCCTAACTCCGATGGCAATTTGGTTATCTTCGAGGACCTGCCGGTCCCGGACCCGGAGGCAGATCCCTCTCACCAACATTCCGGTCAGATGCTTTGCACATACCAGTGCCGGCAATTGGTAATACTTCCTCTATTGCTTTACTACTATTCCATAAAGCTTTTACATGTTACTTCCGTTTCCAAACAAAGAGATATTTTAATGGTCGGACCTGGTGCTTTACAAATTAAAAGAATATGTCGATTTTTTGTTTTTGAAATTTACTTATAACCTAGTCCTCCTCCCCAGGGATTTGCCTCGTTCTGCTGCAAGTACCTCCATAATTTGCTTAGTAAAATTAGAGTAATACTTATTATAAAGTTTACAATCATTATCAACGTTGTAAAAAGTTAGTAGAATTCAAATCTGAAAGTTGAAATTGAAGTTGCATTGCTGCACACTTTTTTTTTTTTTTTTTAAGGGTGTCCGGGCCAAAGCCCGACTAATCCCTGGCAAATTTGGAGGCTAAACATGGCCCCACTTAAATATCGCCAACACTCCCCTCCCAGGGCTCGAACTCGGGTTCATGACTATGCCATGCCCAAGCCTTTACCACTAGGCTGGAAAGTCTTTGACTGTTGCACACTTAAAAGTCAACAAATTTTGTAGTGGATGGACTATGGAGCAATAGATAGTTTCTACTGATTTTTCTATGCTGGAACTTTATGTAAAACATAGAGCATGTTAGAGATGCTGATGTTGTTTAACTTCATTCCGTTGTAATGAGCATCTGAATTCTGATACCTAGATTAGGTTTTGATATTGCCTCCATTTTTTCAGTATGTAGCCCTAGCCATCTCAGTGATTTTTGTTTGCCAATTTCATGTTGTGGTAGCCCTGGTGGTTTATGTTGTTGTTTCCATTGTCAAGATTATCATCATAATAACTTGTGCATATGCTTGATGGAATATTATAAATGAAAAGATGCGTGTAATTTGAACAAGTTTCCCAAACTTACAAGAAGCCAGATAATTCTAGCGGTGGTGGACGTTTCAACATTTTGTATACTGTATACTGCATAAAGAAATCATAGACATTATCAAATATATTTTTAGTAAGTGGTATGATCCACCAATAAGTTGAAAGTTCTTTTGAACTATATTATAAGGAGATAACAATAAGAAACTGGTTGTAGCTTTCCTAAAGAACCTCCTAAGTGGTAGCTCTTTTAAGGAGCTCCCCTCACCTTTCCAACAGAAGCAAATTCAGGATTATAGGTTCAAGATTACAACTTATTTAGAGATATTAAAATGATTGGTGGAAAATTCGGCTTAAACTTATTGTCTTGTCTTATGATTTGTTGTGGTGCAAAGGGTGAAATACAACTATACAAGAGATCATTTTTGAATTTTAATGGTAGTGTTGTTCAGACCCATAAAACCATTGCTGGTTGAGGTGATACAAATTAAGGGTTTGACACGTAAATTATAGAAGCTAAGTTTCATTTACGAACATCGGTTGGCTCAGGGGTTCATGCCTTTATTGATTCATCTATAAATCCGGATTCACCATTATCAGTTGGAGATATACTATAGGGATTGATTGATTGTCAATAGCATTTTTTTCTTACCTGTTGAAAAAAGCATGAGAGCAAGAGTGGCAGACTGCTACTTAAAACTTCTGAGGTTATATTTGATCAATCTTGTATGACAAAAACATGGCATGCCATACGTGCAAGTGCTTAGGATTTTTTAATGCTTTATGTTTAGTGTCTCAAGTCTCTTTTACTTTTGCATGGATTTTCCTGCTCTTACTAGAATATCTATGGAGATACTTAACTGCTGAAGAAGTGTCCCCGATTTATGGGAGATTTAGGCATTTTTTAATTTCCTACTTTCATCTATTGAGTGGAATGCCTATTGCCATCACAGGTCAAAGCAGATTTCTTGGATGCTTTAAGCAATGCAGAGAAGCAAGTGCAGGACTCTCAATCCAAACTTGAGACAATGAATGATGACATGCACAAATCTGGTGCGTGATAAGCTCAAGTTTTGGGCTAATTCGTATGAAATTCCTCATTAACCCATAGTGTATTATATTTTGGCATGGCAGAAGCTAAAATTCTAATGTTAATGGTGTTGAATACCTACCTCTGCTTTGCTCAATACTTTTGACATAGGTAGCAATAATTCTGGCTTTTAGTGGTTGCTCATGTTATTTTTGGCTATATCACTTTTAATCTACCATTTATGACGTATAAACTAGCACCATCAGAAGTTCAAAACTTTTCTAAGTTCCACTAACAGCTCTTAAAGCCTCTCAGCCTATACTTGATATTTTGTTTTTACATTGCTGATATGCACCAACATACATCAAAAGAAGTGATAAAAAATTGTTATTAAATAGGTTCTGAAAGCACTAATATGCGTGTGTATAAAGATAGAAGGGTGGGCTGATGGGCTAAAACTAAAGATCAAGAATAAGATAATGCTATAAACGTGAAACAAGTCCGGTCTTTTACAAGTTGAATTTGAACCTCTTTGAGTGGCTTAGCCAAAATATATGCAAGCTAGGTACTCGAGTCAATAAAACTGGTTTGGTAGATGGAAATCGTTCTACGTGTCAATCACATTTTCAGGTACAAGTTCTAAACTTCTAATCTACCTCAATATGCTTCATGCATTCATGGAATATCTTATTTATGTGTACCTTCATAATTGGCTCAATATGATGACACATCTTCTTAAAACCAATATAGAGTAATCCAGGTTGAATAAGATGGCATACTCAATTGACCTCTTAAGTTGTATATGTCATCACTGAGACTCTTACATAACATAGATCAAGAGACAACCTTTTGTGTCTTGCTATTCAATGGCACCAAAAAGTACGATGTATAGTGGTCAATCTCTCATTCCATTGTCATTTAACATACTAGCATTTTAAATTACCTTTAGACATTGAGCAGGTACAAAAGTTGTACAAACATCCTAATTGCTAGTGTGGAAGGTAGACATGAAACAACTGACCACTCGCATAAAAGAAAATTATCAACCCTACTGACATTGAAATTGTTCAACTTTCCAACCAATACATCATATCCCTCTTGATCATGAGGAAGCTCTCTCTTGACATTGAAATTGTTCAACTTTCCAACCAATACATCATATCCCTCTTGATCATGAGGAAGCTCTCTCTTGACATTGAAATTGTTCAACTTTCCAACCAATACATCATATCCCTCTTGATCATGAGGAAGCTCTCTCTTGATATCAATAGTATTGAAGGTASMMAAAAAAACTCATCACTGTCAAGAAAGAACAGTACCAATCCTAGTGACAATGAGATAGTTCGAATTTTAATCCATACATCATACCTTCTTGGATCATGTGGAAGCTCTCTTGTATTTGGAAACCATTGAGAATTCTATAAGACAACCATATAACAAACAAACATCTTCAAAACCAATGACACACTTCATGTTACATGGTATGATGCCACTGGGAGATATCATTTTTGGGTATCATCATAATCAACACCAATATACCATAAGTTTAGGAGTAGTCTTTTGCAACACTACTAACTTTGAAACGAGGTAGTAGGCCTTATTTCAAGATATACACCCATGACCCAACATCAAATAAGTACTTAGAAGTTAGAAGGAGGATCAAATAGATCTAATATGCAATACTCCAAAGAGCACCTTTTTTCTCATGAACACTTGGCTTAATGTTGGATGAGCCGGAGGCCTCAATAAAATTAGGGCTATTAGTTTTTCATAGCATAAAATAAACGTAAATGGCTATGTTTGAGAGAGAAACAATTGACACATTTTGATTAGTAGGAAAACCAAGCAGTTGATGAATTGACCATACTACACATAGTTCTGTCACATTTCACAGTCGGAAACTTAGCGTGGTAGCAGAAGGGTAGCATGATTAGGTTTGTGGCTGGATTTGGCGGGACACAAATTATTTATGATCAAAACCAAATGAGTGGTATGGAAGCTTAAGAACTGGTGGTACCATGCTTTTCTTTTAAAGTATTCCTGAAACGGAATAATCTTTGAGACTATCTATGAAGACTCAATATATGAAACATACTTACATACATGAAATGGGGCATTCATAAGGGCCATGATGGTGGAGTCCAATGGATGATGTAAACGATGACCAATACAAGAAATAACTCACAAGAATACTCAACAGTCAAGAATAAAAGTCAAAAAGACATGTGCAAGACGTGAGTAGCTGGAGCATCAAGCTTATTATATCCAATATGAAAGTAATGAACATGATGGACATATGACAAAATGGTTAAAAGAATTTTTTTGTCATGAACTTTAAAAACTCATGAACTATACTCTCAAATTGTCGCTACAAAAGGCTTAACATATAATTAAGTTGAGTTCAACTGGAGCATAAGATTTACCAAAAATGGAAATTGGGTACAAATTTCATCAAATAATTCTAGGTTACTTCGAATAATCATCTACAGAAGTAGTAAAACTTTAAAAGATTAAAAGACTTGACCTGTAATCACTAACAAATTAAATTAGACAAGCTTCTGAATGTGGAGAATATCCTACTTGTGTCAGACAAACATGTTTGCCTAATTCACAAAATAAAAAAATTAATTTGAAAGAAAGTCAATTTTTAGTTGCAATTCATAATTTTGCAGAAGATGGTTGATCAAATGAATGTGGATATCCTGCACATTGCTTCCACTGAGATAATTATGTGGGGGACATAGACATCAACGGGTACAAACCTCACTCATGACCATCCTTTGACAGGCACCCAAATATTGGAAAGGATATCGCAGAGGAGAGAAGTTAATAAAGCAGCTGAAGATTTTAGTAGTCTTGCTGATAGTTGGGAGGTCTTTTTAGTAAATATTGGCATATAAACACATTTCAAACATTCTTGTAACTGGTATGAGTTAAATATCTTGATTAGGTTTGCTGGAACCATATTCTATTCAAATCTGGAGGATGTATAGAGGGAGAAAACAATTTTCTTTTATCTGTTCACATGATCATCAGATGCACTTTGATATATTATCCAAAATGAGATACATGCAAAAAACAATTGACCAACTTCCTTAGGTTTATAATGGAAGTATGAGGGATAAAATGTATGTAAAAAGCACGGAACAACTAAATAGATTGAGCTTCTTCTTACCAAGTCGAACTCTAGAGTCTGGCGGGACAAGCAAAGTGCACAACAATAACTGAATTTAAGAACAATGGTAGGTTTTGACAAGGCTAACAAACATAGGAAACAAATCCGTATTTTTCCATAGCCTTTGCCTGAATAAGAACAACATCCTATCCATGAATCTCTACCATAAAAGCAAACCATGTTTGCTTAAGTACCAAGTGAAAACTTCTGTTAGACTATTTAATTATATATAAATATAGTAAGATAATAGAATAAATATATACAAGAGGATGTAGAGCGGGTAGCATGAGTGAAACCTACATCGTTAGCTTGGAAGGCTAGGGGTCATAGTCCGCGTCAGTTCGTCACTTTTAACGTTTAAATCAAGGATTCAGGGGATGGTGCATGACAAATGATAAAACACCACTAACAGTGCCACCTGAGAGACCCATAAAAGCTGTGTTTGAAGTAAGTACAATACTAGGTAGTAGTAGGACTGCCCTTACCACAAAATCAGTGGGAGAAAGACTAAGCAACTAATTACACAAAGCCTGAAGCCTTGAGGCAAAACTATTTGCAGCATGTCGTAGCACAGTAGCAAAGTAATGCTCCCATGAGCTCCCAAACAGTAAATTTATTCAACTATCAACAACAATTCACTTCTTACCAGTCCCAAGGGAGGGATCCACAGTCAAGTACCCATGCTGACATTTGATTAAAAATCCTAGTTTATATCATCTGATTTGAAAGGGATCTATAATGGCACAAGGTGGAGTAAGGATTCTGGCTTCTATCATTCAGTTTAATCAACGATCTCTGGGGTAATGTCCTCGAGGTCATGCATCCACTTTGTTACATGCAATCGGTTGGAGTTACCCAAGAAAGTGAAAAAAATTGAACCATAACTTTCTTTACTTTGTCCACCAGAAAACCAATCTAAAAGAAACTAAACCAAGCAGAAAATTGAAGAAGCAGAACTAGAAAAAGACAAAGCAAGCCTAGAGATCCGGTAAGGAAATCAAGTCAAAGAGAAAAAAAATCAAGGGGCCACAAGTCAAGCCAAGACATTAGACTGACATGTCACTGGAGTCAGCAACAAGGGTCTGGTGATTTAAGTTGATGAAGCAACAAGAATGAAGTTTTCATCCCTTAACAGCCAAAACAACAGCAGCTGGTATCTAGACCAAGAAGCAGCAATTGTAAGGGGTCCTAACCAGCAATGGCTCTAGGTGAGACCAATGAACCAATCAATAAGGCTACTTCAGTCAGGGTAGCATCCCACTTGGTAGAGTGGAGTGTCATTGTGCCAGGCATTGGCAGAGTTGATACCCTGGTTGCAGTGGCATGTTTAGAGTAGCTAGGGTTTGCCATATTACAGTATAGGATTTGAAAGATAGTTTCCATTGCTGATGAATGATACACACACTTACAGTAAAATGGTGAGCTCATGGGCGGAGACTTAAATTTAGCTAAAAGTTAAGAAAAAGGCTACTAAACAGATCTATCGCTTGCTTAACTTTTGTTTAGCCTTACAGCTTGTTAAAGATGATGTTTATTATCTTTTCTCTCTTCTATCTTTAATGTTTGCATGTTAGGACATAAAAAATCAGTTGGTCATGACTAGTCAGTTGATCAGCTTTTTATGCAATTTAATGTTATAGGAAGTGGATTGTCATTTATCCTTGCTTCTTTTGTGTAATCTCACTGTTATCTATTTACATATAATGATATTTGCGCTCTGCCTTATCTCATTATCATGCCTTTGAGAATATACATCTGTAGCTTTAGTTAAATAGCGACTTCCGTTTGCTGCAGAAGCTGATAGGATGAAATTTCGGGATCAGCTTCTATATGCAGAACAAGAACTAGCTGCTGCCAAGGGACGTGAACAGGCTCTGCAAGAGCAGCTCTTGAAAGAGGTCAATGAATCTCAAGAGCGACTGAAAAAGCAAATTCATAACCATAGTGAACTTGAGGTTTAAGATTACCTATATTTCAATCTACTTCTTTATTGTTCAATTCAAGTCTTCTCAATTCTTTTAGATTTAGATTTAGATTATCAAACTGTTATTTTGATGTTATTTTTAACCTGCTATCTTGAAATATTTATGATTCTCTAATTTTAATAGGCTCAAAGTCCAATTAATGCAATACCATGATGAGGATACAAAAATTTATATGGATTGGAAACAAGGTCTATTGTTCAGTTTCATCATAATTTGTTGCAGCTGATGGATTCTTCAGTAACATCATTCTCTTGCTTATAACACGTACAATGTTTTCCAAACATATATCCATTCTAACGACAGTCAAATCTATGAGATTATAGAGACAGAAAGGTCTTCACTACCAGGCATTGGGCTGCACATGGTAATACCATCTATGAGGGAGCAATCACTAAATTATAAATCTTGTGGGGTTAGCTCTACTGGCAAGAAGGCTTGGGCATTTGGGGCTCCTCATCATAGGTCACCAGTTCGAGTTCCGCAAGGCCACTGGCAATTTTCCTGGCTGTTCTCCAGGGCCCCATGGATTAGTCAAGGTGTGCGCAAGCTGGTCTAGACACCCACGCTTAAGAAAAAAAAGCACCAAGTTATATAGATGATTTGCGTATATAATGGGAAATGTTATCATCGGACTACTCTGGATATTTTCTACTTTCTATGTAGCATATTGGTTTACGTATAGCTTCTTGGTCATGTAAGTAGTAAGCCTGTACAGAGCATTTCTGCAGGTGGAGGTTTGTTTGTCAGTTGAAGTGGAATCAACAATTATATTATGTTCTCGAACCTCTTTTACTTGATACAAATGTAGGTGGTGCTGTATAAAGAACTTAATCTATTAAGGGGATAGATTGTCTCTGGTCTTGTAAGAACTTAATCCAACAATGAGTTTTTGTCCATGCATGTAAATGGTCACATCTGTATTTAAAGTAGGTTTATCTTACATCAGGGGGTTCATGTGGGAGCTAATGCATATAATTTCTGGAAACTCAGAAAATCTTGCCTGTTTCTGACTTGAAGTCTTAACGCTATTCTACGAGGAGTAAAAATTCCATCTACTTCTTGAAAGTATTCAATTTTGTGTTTCTGGCAGGGTGAAATCTTGTGGAATATTACCATCAGTTTGCATCCAGGTTTAGTATTCTATAGTTGGATTTTTCGAATGGTTAGCTCCTATCGAGGAACCGAGAATGAAATACAGTAATCATTGTGTATTCCATATTGTTGAAAAGGCAGGAATCTACATTTTCTGCTGAATCCTTCCCATGCTATAAGGTTGTAGTTAGACTAAAGATCCAGGTTTACATGTAGTACCCAGCAAACGGGTAGTGAAGATGGCTTTTCTTATAACCACAAGAACAAGTCCTTGCTTTCTGAACTAGCTGGGGTAGGTTAAACTTGATGCTAAAGTGCAAGATAAAGGTGAACTCCTGAGGGGTCTAGAACATGAATAGCATTCTTCAATTAAGTCCTACCTAGAGGCCAACTTCTTTGGTAAATTCTTTTCTATCAAACTTATATTCACCACTTCCCCATTGTCAATCTTAACCTAGTTCTTCCTCACCTTACGGATCTCCTCTTGGTACAAGCTTCCTATTCTAATATGTGCATCCAAAGGTCTACTTCGAGATGACAAATTTACTTGAGGTGCTGTGTCACCTTCTCCTCGACTCAACTGGTGCTGCTTTAATCTCCTTCCAGATCTCCTAGTTTCTATTCCTGCCCTCAGTATTCACATCTACATCTTTGCTACCCTTATCTTCTGTAGATGATGTCTTATGGTGCCTCCAATATCATATCAGGCTTACAGTTCCTCTTCATCCCCTTTCAGTAACTTATTTCATTGATTAAAATTTAAAAGCAAGCTTGTGTAATTCATGGTTGAGGAATGTGTGTGAGAGTAATAGTTTGAGTTATTATTTTACTTTCCTTGTAGTTTTATTTTCCTTTCTTGCTTTCCTGTTATTTTCTTGCCACATTCTTTGTTTGAACATTTGTTTAATAATAGTTTCATCACTTTTTTATTTAGATCAAATTTAGAAAAGAAATGGATCTTCGCAAAAATGCAGAATCTTTGGTAGCCTCAGCTGAAGAAAAAGCAAGCCTTTTAGAGAGGAAATTGAGCCAGGTCTCTGAAAGCATAGAGAGGGAAAGAGTTCGTCTTCAGAAGGATCTTACACAGCTTAAAGAAGAATCAAAATTGTCAATTTCTAGAATTAGTTCAGATGTGAGTAGTCTTAAGTTATGACAGATTTTTTTTTGTTGAACATGATACGAAACTAACTTTTGCTTTCTTGTACTTAGCTTGAAAGGATGGAATGCAAAGCTAATAACTCTGAGAAGGAGGCAAATCTTTTGAAGGAACAATTGGAGAACCTTCAAAGACAATTTAATGAGGTTATAGCTTCTTTAGCTTTGCTGTGTTCTGAATTTGTAATACATCATTCCTTGAAAAGTACAGCATGTATAATCTGTATGGAAACAGTGTATGTGTACATCTGTTTTTCTTTTTTTCAAATGATCTTCACTTCGGCTGTTTGAAAGTCGCTTCACCCTTGTGAAAGGTCCAACTCATGCACTCCATTCAAGTATTTTTGGTGTTGTTTTATTTACTACATTCTTAGCTTATTTTAAATTCTATGCAGCTAATGATATTTGGTGTTACGTTCTTATCCCCAGTGCTTGCATGAGAAGAATGAAGTAGAGAAAAAACTTTCCACTTTAACATGTCAAGAATTTCCTTCATCTGATGACAACATCTTGGTGAAGCATTTGAGAGAAGAGCTCAGAAATTATGTATGTTTTTCCCTATTTCAAGTATTTTATTTTTCACAGACCTAATCTTGAATGAAATACTTGTTAACAAAAGGATTACAGCGCAGCATAGATCTTGAAAAAGAATAAAAAAATTTATAACCTTAAATACAGCCACAACGTTCACTGGCTTTAGATTAAAATACTCAGCTGGCATGGTAGTTGCATTATTGGTTATTTGAGCTAGAACAAGAAGCTACTTTAGTCTGCATGATTACTAGAAACATTAATAGCCAGCTATGGTGATCACAGTAATGACTTACACGTATGTTTTTATCACCCCTACTAGTGGCTTATGATGCAAGTGCCGATACGCCCATACCTTTGGACAGGTGGATACGTAGGAATCATTAATGAATTAATGGGATACTCTTTTTTAACAAAAAGGAATTTGACTGATATAGCACAGCATAGCAGAAAATACTTTTACAACTAGCAGGCAGGTTCTGGAATACTCGGTTCTTCACTGGGTTCAGAACAAGTATTGCCGTAAGGTTAAGCATGGTCCTAATTTGAGGGTATACTGTAATAGATACGAGAACAATTGGAAATTGTTGCCAGGACATTGAAGTTCAAAGCATCAGTCCATTAAGTTGCAGATGGCTCTACTGCTCTAGCCTTCTAATAGATTTACAAGAATCTAGCAGTTCAATTTACACAGATTTATGCAACCACCAATATACCACTAAGCTTCCTTTATATATCTTTTCTGGAAGGAAAGAGTATAATTGTGAGGAAAGAGAATATGCATTTAATGACATGTTTATTCTAGGTAGTGGAATGTGGTATGTTCGATGGTGAATTTGGTTATTGATAAAGATTTATTCTTATATGCATTTCAAGTACTACCCAAAAACTGGAGTACTTTGTATTCTTTTTTTGACAATGACCCAAATTTGCTGCAGACTTTGATAATTGTTTTTCTATCTTTGACATCAGGAATCAGAAGTCCGTGAAGCTAGGAAATGGAAATCTTCTCATGAGGACATTGAGGTACTGAGGGAGAAATTGTTGGAAGAGAAGGGCCGCAGAGAGAGGGCAGAGTCAGAGATTTCTAAGCTATCAGAGGAACAAGTGAACGGAAAGATGTTGGAGGATGAATTGTCCTCTTGGGAATCAATGATGAAGGAGATTCCTGGTGTAACATGTGCTGCTGAGATACCTTTCAAGTTTGCAGCCTTGCAAAGGTACGTATCAACTTCATTGTATAATTGTGTTACATTTACGCAATCTGCTTCTTGAAATGGGTCTCTAATTGAACTATGAGAACTGAAGTCAACATTAATCCACTTATGCTTGTTGTTCTTGTAGACAATGTCTATGTAGAATAAATTGTTTGAGTCTTATGTTTCTTCAGGTTATAATCTGAAGATGGTCTTGTTCATCATTTTCCAGACCAACTGCTTTCCCTTTAAACTTGATAAATGCCGAGCACAATGACAATCATTCACTTTAACCATCTCTTTTTGTTTTATGTTCATATGGAAACCCTCATCTTCTGTTCCTTTATTGGATGCTCTTTATCAAGGTTCAATTGAGCTTTGTTGTAAAAAAAAATTTGTATTTCATATTTGATAATATCAGCGGACTCACTTACTTCCTAAATTGATCTTGTGCATTACAGGGAGGTTATTGAAAGCATGATGAAGATAGGGGAGGTCACTGCACGTTTGAAACAAGTARAGGTTGCTCTTGATGCTGCTGAAAATGGTAGGCAGAATGCTGAAACAGAGGCTGCATTGACCAAAGAGAAGGTGGAACTTTCGAAATTGGAGCTCAAGCGAACTGAGTTATTGGTAAGCTGATATCATTTTAACTTTCATACATTTAGATATATAGGATCCTGATGATCTGTTTGCTATGCTGGAATCGATGATGGAATGTTCCTTTTCTGTTACTTGAAAAGTAGATTTTTCCAGAATGAATTTCTGTTATTGATATTGTTATTTTATAGAACAAGCATCTCCACTAAATTAGGACACTATATCACTAATATAAATGAGAATTTCTTTTCCTTGGTTGTACCTTCCTAAGTTACATAGATTTATACGAAAGACAACAATGACCAAACATACAGCTACAATTTATTATACAAACACATATTTATTTTTCTGTTTTCCAACACTATTACATTCAACAATGGAGTGAAATTACAATTATATTTTTTTGTAAAATAACATAGTTTTGTGATCTTATTCAAATTATATTAACCAAGTTTTTTTGGCTCTTTTTGGACCTTGTTCACAAAAATTTTAATATTAGGTTGTACATTTCTAAATTACACAGATTTGTACGTAATACAACAATGAACAAAGATACAGTTACAAATCATTATACAACAGATTTACTTTGCTGATTTTCCAACACTAATGCATCCAGCAATGGAATGAAATTACAGTTATACTTTTCTACTGGTTGTGTCTTTGACCTACTTCAGATGAATGTCACACTTTTCCAAAATATTGTTCACATACTCTTTACCTTACTTGTGTTTCAACCCTTCTGATTTATCAACGTTAAGGCTCACGGTGGAATGTGGTGTGAACCAAAAGTGGAATGGGAAGGGTCATTAATTTGATAAGAAACCAATATGATCTATGGTGGTTTATTGTTGTACATAAAGTTGTTGGTACTTCGTATCTCATTATCATCTCTGTTCCTCAAAATTTTCTTTGTTAGATGGTATAAATGGCCATGTTGTTTACATCCTTGTTTTATGTGCCGATGTCCTACATATAGCACAAATAATGGCATTGTTATTCTTTACGAATTATATCTTTGCAGCTTTCTTCAGTTACCGAGGAGAGAGACCGTTTGAAAGTTGCTGTTGATCAAATGAAGCAGCAGAAGAATGTTGAAGTAGGGGTTGCAATGAACGATGGAACAGTTCAGGTTTGTAGACCAGAGGGGTCCTGTGCTGAAACTTTCATCTAGTTTGTGGTTTATGCTAATGCATGTTCTGTTACCTTGTTTGCAAGGACAGGAGCTTGAGTCATCTCTTGCCATGAAGGAAGATTATATAAAGAAGCTGGAGAGTTCTATACTTGAGCAAAAAGAAATTAATGCCCGTCAGCATAATGAAATAAAGGTGCTCAATGAGAGGCTGAATAGTGAATCAAGAAGAATAAAATCATTGGAGAGGGAGGACGATCGTCTCCGCTCAGAGATAGCTATATTGGAGTCGAAGGTTCGATTTTTGGATATCAATCTTGTCTATGTTTTTGTTGCTTTTTTGGCATTTTTATATTAGTACTCTTTTCCTATTTCTGATATAAGGCATTGCGTATGAAGTTAGTTGGTACTGAATTATTTTAAGTGATTGTTTTACAAATACAGCTGATAACAACGGTCAAAACATTGGTCTCCGGCTTCTGTTATAATATCATATTGACATTTATTTGCAGTGATATTGTATTGATGTTTGCATATGTGATACTAGTTTGCTAGTGTGTCTGGCTGGTTATTGATTGCTTACTTTGGCAGTAGAACTGATGTATGTTTTCTTTACATGATTATAGAAGTGTCGATTGATGTAATTTTTATGTGAAACTTACCCATATGACAAATGACTTGCATTAATTGGTTGTCTGGAAAGGATATGGATGCAATCCTAGATTACCACTTCATCAAACATTCTAGAAGATCTCAGCTAATTTGTTAGGAACTATTAGGATTTTTTATATCCACAGAGGATGTGCTTTTGGCTGAAATAGGAATGAAATCAAGGAAGAATATTTTTTTCTATTTTATGTCAAAGCTTCAGAAGTGAGCTCACACCCATTGTTCATTCTACTTATTTTATATTTGTAGCTATCTAATTTCTTCTATAAGTGAGGTCAAACATTAACTATTATTTCAATTTCAGTCATCCATGGTCTCAGATTGAAGTAGCTTTCACTTTTCTCTCCACTCATTTTAAGGCACTGTGTTTTTGTTGCATAATTTCTGCAAATGAATCATTTTATTGGCTATGCTTATTAATTCTAAATACTCATCCTTATTCGACTAGAGTTTCACCGTAGGCTCCACCATTCCGTCACCATTACTCATAGAGTATATGGACATATTTTGTTGATGTGGTATAGAACTATTGAACAACACATGAAGCAATCTTGATATTAGATAAAATATGTGGGAACTTTTTGTCTTCTTGTATCTGTATTATTTTTTTCACCAAGTTATTCCTCTCTTGTTCATATATTTTCTCATTTGCAGGTTGGTCATGGTGATTTTTCATCTGCAAGTACAAAAGTACTGCGTATGGTGAACAGCTTAGCGGTTGACAGTGAGGCAAAACAAACTATAGAGGCTTTGCAGAATGAATTACAGAAGACGAAAGAGAAATTACAAGCCATTGAGGAGTTGAAAAAACAGTCAGGTATTCTTGCCTAATGTTTATTGGGAAACTTATTACTTCGGAATGTTATTCTTTTTTTGTTGTTTGTTGGTATCCTTTTCAAATAACGCTGGCATTCTTGGATTTCCTATAGATAGTTCTTCGGTATCTTTTTAGAATAATGTTGATTTTCTTTGATAAGTTGAGCCATCTATAGGTAGTCCTGTTCATCAGAACTAAGGACACTATAGTGTCTAATGCATTGAAAACCTAACCTTTAAATGAGGGCCGGACCAGTATTTTTTTTGTTTGAAATATGTAATTCTGTTTTCACGTTGCATGCTATGGTGGTTGATTCTTTTATTTTAAATGAGATATGATCCCAGCATCTTTTCAAGTGGCATACTACACCAAATGAGGGGAAGTTTTTTGAACAGTTACTTTAGGACTTTCGATCTACCTCAGGTACATCACTTGTCTCTTCACATGTGATGTACAAACAGCAACAGGCCCTTGGCTTGCAAAAACAAAAGTATGACAGGAAACAAGTGTGGGAAGTAGCAGAGGAGTGTGTGCCAACAAGCACAAGAGGTACTGTTTAAGGAACATAAAGATGAAATAAACATGGGACATAGACCGTTTGTACTAACAACTAGGACAGGAGATAAACTACGTATTACATTAGTAAAAGCAGGAAATACTAAGGCTGAGATCCAATAAAAAGTCCTACAAGTAGATGCATGAATAAGACATGAAAGGTAGGAAAACTAACACAACACTCTATCTAAAGTAGGACTTCGGTAACCTAAGTGCCACCTGTCCACCCTCTACCTTCACCAGACTCGCCTCCTCTTGTTCATGTGGCAGTACTCTATATACGTCAAAATCGATTGATGTTAGTAGAGTGCTTTCTTCATTAAATATTTCAGCGAACATGCTGATTTACCTCTTTTAGTGATTCTCTGTGTGCATATATATACCTTTTGTTAGTTGCATGCCTCTCTTTGATCTTCTATGAGGCAAGCACCTCTCCCTATGCCTCATGCCCTCATGCCTAAGCCCAGGTAGACCTTTGGGCCTCGGTGCACCTTGTGCTTCAAACAACACCAGTCACTGGCTGTTCTTTAAATTTATTTTCCTAGAATTTGAGGAGGGGTGCATGTGCGCATTACAGATCATTGCTGAAGATATGACGTCATTTTTGTTTATAGAGTTTGTTACTTAGAAATCGACACCCATAGTTTCTATGTCAGACTTTTGCTTTCCGACTTCATAATTTCTGATGAAGAGAAGTGGATCCCTTTTGTTATTTTTCCATGACCTGTTATCTCATTTTCTGGTACTGGGTTTTATTGTGAAAATTTTAGGTAAAAAGGGATATTTATATTTGTTTGCTTATCTATTTATGCAACTGTTGGCTTTTATATGGTAGTTCTCATTTTTGAATATCTTAATTCTGACGCATTACTGAAAACACTTGATCAAATCTGTAGGGACAAACAAACGGTTACAAAATTCTAAAGCTCGTTCGAGCCAAGTAATTTTTTTCCTATACTAGTTGATAACCGAAAATACATGCATCAAATAACTTGTAAAATTGAACTGTACCATTTCTTTAACCAGCCGTTTCTTTTGTTACACAATTGTGTACGCATATGTCCTTATGGATGTAACCTGCATAAGTTCACGAGTCTTTAGCAGTGTAGTTGGTGCGGTAATCACATGAAAGCTAATAAGGTTACATAATCTGTATGAGGTCAGAAAGCATATCTATAATGAAAGTGGTAGATCTGGCTAATTAGTGAGAATTCCTAGATGTTCAAAGCTTATCCATGGAAGTAGAGCAGCAAGCAGTAAACAGATGTACAATGTATTTAATTCATTTTATATCTTCAAATCCAGTCATGAGTGAGGGTGGATATGCTGGTCACAAGTGATAATACTGTCTTTATATCATGTGTTCTGATCATTCAGTGAACTTTTTGTTATTTTACAATTTCGTATATGTGGTGGACTTCCAGTTATTTTATTCTCATACTTATTGCTGCTGTGAATGTTCAGGTGATGCTGGGACATTAGTAGATTCATACATTTCTGGAAAGATAGTGCAGTTAAAAGAACAAATTGCCACCCTCGAGAAACGTGAGGAAAGGTAAATGACGTGTTAGGTTTGTTGATGCTTAGAATTGTTTTTGATCATTTAAATATTTAAATCGAAGATGGTGCATGATGCAGGTATAAGACAGTTTTTGCTGATAGAATCTCTGTTTTCCGAAGGGCATGCTGTGAACTGTTTGGTTACAAGGTATCTGTGGAACTGCATATTGGTAGTACATTTGTTTTCGTTAACTACTTGTGGACCTGAGCCTGATTAATCCTACAGATTGTGATGGATGATCACCAGCGATCAGATGGGATCCCTGTTACACGATTTACCCTTCAGTCTATCTATGCTCAAAGTGATGATGAGAAACTTCAATTTGAGTACGAATCAGGGAACACTAAAATTCTGGTAAGACAGTATTGATTGTAATAATAGTCATCGGTTACAGATGGCAATTCTGTCATTACATTTCGTTTCATTGTTGGTATGTCGATGTTTTGATAGTTGGTGCGTATGTGGTTACATTTAGTTAGAGAATTCATATGAAATATATACCACGACAAGCCTTACGTAGCCGAATTGCTTTTATAATGTTTCAGGGAAATAACTACACGCAGCAGCCTGAGATATCCCATCAGGTACAAACCCCTCTCTATCTCTCTCATGCATCCTAATAACAGCTGTTATATTGAATTAGCAATTAGTAAAACCAAACAAACTCAGTATATCCGACATGTAGATAGCCAGATAGGGTAGGAAAGAGCAAGTAAAACAAATAAAAAAGCCACAGATTATGGGGGAAAATGGTTATTGAGTTAGCAAATATATATATAAATATATATATATATATATATATACACACACATATACATATATTGTATTTAATTGGGATTGGTTTGATATTTTCAGGTTGAGATTTTTATTCGGAAACTGAACTCGATTCCAGCTTTCACTGCCAATTTGACGGTTGAGTCTTTCAATAAACGGACGCTATCGTGAGACAAAGCAACTCGTCTCAAATTTTGTACTGAACCCGAGAAACAAATCAATGGTGTTTTGGATGATAAATGTTTAAAGAATATATACCGATATCGGTTAATGATCATATTAAAAGCAAGTTGGTTTGGAAGTTACTGATTTCCATCTCTCTTTTATGCTCTCCTTGGCAAAGTTCAAAAACACAAGATATCAACAAGGATAAAACCAAACTAAACCAAACCAAATGTATCCAAAAATCTACTAGACTGTTTTCTTGAAAACCTCGATTATAGATAGTTTAAAAGATTGGGTAAATTTTTAGTCTGATTTCTATTTTGAGAAGAATTTTTATTTTGATACATAAGATGTAAATTATCAAACTTATAAGTATCTCATTTACCTACATATCAGATAATCGGTCAACTTAAATAATGTGTAATTTTTTAATATGGAATTTATGACATGAATATATATTTCTAGAACTTTTCATTCTCCATTTCTTCCTCCAAACATCCCAACGGAGCAACACCCTGCGCCTTCCTTCATCGTCGCCCCCTCCCTTGTTTACTAAAACCGACAAACGGCGATAATTGAGTCGGATTAGGTTGGGGATAGATTTAAATCAACCCAAACCAACTCGTCTGACTAAGTTCCAAACCCAAATTATCACTCCCTCGAAATCGAAAGGGTCGAGAAGAGTTATTGTTAGTTGATAGATAAAATACAATTCAAGTTTATCATTGTTATATACTCGCTTTAACGTCTTATATTTGAATAATTATAATATCTTGGATTTTCACGGTTAACTATTTTTTGTTCTTGTTTTTTAGGTCATAATTTCAATTTAACCATATTTTAAAAATTAGAGTATACTACGTTTTGTCCATGGGCTTGTTGAAAATTGATATCTTCATTCCTCCTTTTTTTTAGAAATTATGGTTTTTATTTTTGTAATTTATAATTCATTGTTGATTTTTTTTTGTATTTAACTATAAACTATTGATAAAGTTGATATTAAAGGCAAAAACAACAATGAATTACAAACTATAGAAATAAAAACCAATAGTTTCAAAAGTACAAAAACAAAAATTGCAATTTTTAACAAACCGTAGGGACGAAAACGTAATTTACTCTAAGAATTATGTTGAATCCGACTAGCCAACCCAAATGAGTCAAATTGAGTTATATTGAGTTGACCAACTATCAATATCAATATAATTTCTAATCCATTTGATTTCTTTTTCAAATCTGTCTCATAGAGAGTGTTCCCAAAGAAATATGTAAACTCATATATTTGTTATATAAGCATGCTTAACATACACAAGAAAAGCTTTTTGCATAATAATATTACTACAAAACATAAACAAACAACTTTATGAAGGTTGACTTTCTAGGTCAACACCCAGAGACTTCAATTTGTATATTTTGTTGCTTCCAATAACCTTGAATTACTTGGATCAATAAATATCATCAACCTTTGCCAGTCAAAACAATTACACAAGAAAGGCATTGTTAAAAATGCCATTACAAAAATGTTACCTTAAAAGGACCAATCTCCTTCCTCTTGTGAGACTGGTCATGTGCTTTCTTCTACCTATTTTACGTTATCAACCGCTGTCTATAAGTATAGAGACGCTGCAAACACGATATCTCTCTTGATCTTTGAAACCGCCTCTTCAAATTTGGCTTCGAGTTCAACTTCCCCGATGGATTTTGCTGCTAGTATTAATTGCTGAAGAATTTCTTCCAGTCTCCTGATGGCTCGAATCAAGCTGCCTTCAAACACTTGTGTGATTTCCATGATCTCATAGAATTTGGACCCGTTGGACCATGAATAAACAGCCTCCATAATATCAGGTCTGAACGAACTCACAAAACCCTCTACGTCAATTTCAACCTGTCAAAACAAACATGATGGTACGTTCATTGAAGCTATTACAATACAAGATTGGGTAGAATTACTTTACAAGGGAAAAACCAAATTTAGTTCTTGTAGTCCTAGAATGGTTCCAGCTCAATTTATTTCAAATGATATGCTTCATGGATACAGTTGTTCCACTCTTGGTTTGATTTGGTTTTAGACTTACCAAATTAAATTGGGATTTCAACATAACAAAATTAACATTCTGGCTGAGGGTTCAAATAGCGCACACATGTAGAAAATTACGGAAATTGGTAAGAAAAACCAAAATTAAGGAAATTCATTTAACGAAGTTAAGCTTAGGGACCAGTGACTGTATTTTCACTTTGTGAAGTTGAGGGACCATGTTCGGTTTTTGGTGTAAACCACAGGGACCAGAAGTGAATACTCTAAAATATACAGGATGAAGAGAATGTAACCTTGCATTCTAGCTGAACTTTGGCAACTGTCCGAGCTGTGTCTTGCAACTGTGTAAAAAGCATGTCTAGTTCTTCCCTGGGCTTTTGAGCATTCTGAAGCTTCTCTTGCCACACAAAACAAGATAAAAGAGATACCATTTCTTCTATCTTTATGTCTTTGAAAACCCCGTTAAACATGAGCTCCGTTAACACCAATTCATCGGCACTGCTAATTTCACAAGCAACTTTCCCCTTCAATTCCACAACATCGTCTCTAGTCACATATCTGCATCAAATAGCATATAATCCTGGTTCTTAAACAGGATATACAGATGGTTTTCATGGAAACCAAGGTGAAACGAATATTTCAAATTTTAACATCTTGACTAGAAATGGATGAGTATTTTTACCCCATTCTCCGAAGAACCCTTTTCCTTGCTTTGAGCTCATCTTTGAAGGCCAGTGCAGAGGAAGATCGCATTGACCTTTTGATTGCTTTAATTTGAGCAGTAATTTCTTTCTTCTTGTGCAACACTTTCAGCTTTTGCTCAACAAGTGGAGACTTTGCAACTTCATGCTTCTCAAATAGGTTCTCTAGTGCCTCAATCCTGCGGACAGCCTTCCTATATGACCCACTTTGGACCTATCAAATGAATATATGTATATGTAGAAATGAGAATGTGCCAACATATGGAAACTAGAAGCTGCAAAAACCAAGTGCAGAAATCCAACCTTCATGTCTTCTTCAGGGTCCAAGAGAGGTATTCCTTGCTTAGAAAATCTGGAGAGAACTTCAGACACCTTCTTCAAGGTATTTTCCCGATTTTCCAATGGCAAAAGATCCTTTGCTATTATGAGACGCACACTACTCAAGCTGTCAATCTGTTCGTAGAAAATGACGAATCAGATGCTTATTCTCGATAAAGAACAAGTAATTAGCTATCGGGTAATATTATCAAGAAAACAAGAAAATGTACATTCTATGATCGAAGTTCTGTTTTGAAAATCGACCAAATAACACTTGGAGAAATGACAGGCATGTACCCATTGACTAGAATACAGAGTTCACAATCCGAAGTAAATTGCAGAGAGAGATAGTTAGAGCCTTGCCTGAGAAACAGGAACAGAAACAACAACAGGTTCCCCCGCATCCTTCAAGGGAACAATCTTAATTGTTTTCTTTAGAAGTTCATCCTTAGACACTGCACATCTTGTAAGAACATCCACCGTATAGTTTGCATCTTCTGGGCTTTTATTTGTATCATCTGAATTACATATAGATACGTACACACACACACACATATGTCATTTGCTACTAGTGCAACGCAACAAATGTAAGAAAAAATCTCATAGATAATAAATATCCAACCTTCTGAAAGACCCTTCACCCTTTGAAAGTTGATTATAACACCCCATGTGACGTGATCCTCAATTGACAAAGCTAGGGTACTTTCGTCATTACTTGTGCAACGGACACACACAAGCCTGCCAGGCTGCAAAAATGGCAAGCAGTATCTAGGAGAAAAGATGATGTCACGGACATCCTTCTTCAAGTTTCTATATTGCTGCAGCAAAGAGTAATAATTTTCTAAGCTATCCTCCTCTTCAATGTGAATTGAGTCCCTTTCCTCTTGAAGATCCTTCATTTGTCTCTGCAAACAAAGTAGACATAAGCAACCTCATAGCAGAGTTTGAAATTATTACCCTTCCAACCCCTTATATGCAAGTAAGTGGAAAGATACGCAAATTCAAATGCAATAGCCAACCTCAAGATCAGGGATGGCTCGGTCAGCTTGGAACTGATAGAATGAATTACGAAGCAAATTTTCTGGATCACCGTCTTCACATCTCAGTTGATTCAAAAGCATGTTGTAGCTTAAATGGAAAGCACTGGAAAGGTCCACAATGGAGAGTCAACTCAAGACGCGAACCATACAAGTTAGGAACATGAAGAATGCAGCAGAAGAATTCAGCCACATATACATAAAAAAAATGGCAAATTAACTACAAAAGGTATGCCTCTAAGCATCCCACTTTGAATATCACGTTGTCACAAATACTTTGCTATAACTTCTAGATATACTCTCTCAACCCCACAGTCTTCAAATTACATTAATTGTTTTGTTAACTATCTGAATTTCTACTATGCCATGGGACTCTCGTGCTATTTGCATGCCAACTTCCTTATTCAAGCATTCTAAAAGATTTCTGACCATGCATAATGCAACTTATTTACTCTTTGAATACTATGATGAAATGGTTGAAATGATTTATGATGATGCCACTAGTAGTTTGGAACATCAGAAGAATGATGATAAAATGATTGTGATTGGGAGAGAATGACATCGAAGACAGATATACCATCAATCAACTTTAGTCAAATGACGGTCATTGACAAATAAGATGATTAATTTTTCTTGAAAATTAAGAAGGTTCTGAACAGCGGCTCTCTCAGCCTTGTATACACATCAATTAGTCTTTTCCTCTGCTTTATTAATAAATGGTAATGATTCAGCAACCATAGCAAATGGTTGTCCTGATTGTAAAAGATGCAGTGGACTTTCTGAAATATTGTGACTTAGGGGTTGTTTGGTTAGTTTTCCATCAAGTCATGTATAGATAAAGTTGTATGTGTTGATTAATCAGTCTGTATAGATTGGACGGGTTTTTTTTGGGAGGAACTTTTCATAGATAGGAGCGTATTTTTTAATTGGGGAGCACGTTTGAAATAAAATTGCCTTTCTGCATAAAGCYCCCCCCCCCCCCAAGAAGCTTACCGGATGAGCAACTTTATATATCATTAAGCCACTACCAAAGAGTCATGTATAGTTGACCTAATAAGTTGCGAGTCCCATTAAGCTCATTAAGCTGCTAACAAACAGGCCCTTACTGACTTAAGCTCTCTGGGCTAACATAGTGTGGACCATAGTTGTTTTATGGTCTTTTTAAAAGCATACAGTATAACCGTTGACAGGATTGGCAGCAGCACAGGAAGAACCAAGAGTGAGAAATCCAAACCTGTTCAAACAATCAGCACTCCCTTTGACCATCATTTTAGCAGTGGAAGGTTCCAACCTTTCATCAACCATAAGAATGCAGATCCCACGGTCATCAATTCCTCTACGACCAGCACGGCCACTCATTTGTATATACTCCCCACTTGATAGCCATCTGAACTTATCTCCATCAAACTTGCGGACATTAGAGAAGACAACCGTTTTTGCAGGCATATTAAGACCTATGCTGAATGTCTCTGTGGCAAACAAGCACTGACAGAAAATATTCCAATATAAACAAGTTAAAAATCTGCAAGCATATGCTAAAACAGGCAAATGTATGACCAACAAGAAAAGAGGGGAAGTGGGAAACTAGGGAAGTTGCACATAATCTTCAGAAACATCATTACTCCCACCTCTAGTCTTGGGGAAAAGTTAAACATCAAAATAATGAAAAAAAAATTAGAAGATCGTGGAAAAAAAGCATAATATATCATTCAAGTAATCGAAGCTTTGGACAACTACATCTCGGTGTGCTCAATGGACGAGGGTGGTATATCATGCATACATATATGTGTATCTATTAAGTGACAAGAAAGTCTAACAAGTTTCTCACTATACTTCATCAAAGGGAACCAGGAAGCATAAACATAACTGTGTGTTGAAGAGGAAGGGTTTGAAAGAAGTGCAAATACTATTCACAAATGCACTTCCATTGAACAGGCCATTTTATCCCATGCAACTCTTGTCGTCTCAGAGCACAAAAAATAGCACCGACTTTGTCCAAGTACAGGTGAAAACAATAATATACAATTGCACCGAAATGAAAAAGACCACTACAGAGTATATGAGCAGTAGAATTATGATGCTCTCATCCAACCTTGATTAAGCCTTCTTGGAATAGTATTTCGATTACTTCCTTCAATATGGGCAGCAAGCCAGAATGATGCACACCTATTCCACGCTTCAAGAGGGGAAGCATATTTGATACCTGACAAATCCAAAATCCAAAATCCAAGAAACAGAAAGATTAAAAAGATCACTCCAACACTAGATAAAATGCATCTCTAAAGGGGAGTACAACTGCCTTCCAGAATTTTTCAACATAGTGTGATTTAAACATATCATTGTTAAAATAGTTTTTAAAACAGAGAGATGAGATAATCTTGCCTGGGGTAGCTTCTTATCGTCATCTGATAACATGTCCATAGCACTCCAAAAGATGGTTTCAGTGTTCACTTTCTCGTCATCCTCGTTTAAATCCATTTTCGCCATCTACAGAATATTCAAGATAAGAAGTTGCAATATTAAGTTCGAAGGGATGATTCTGATCCCTGAAAGGAATTGATAAACATAAAGGAGCAATGTAAAAAAATTGACCGGTTTGAGTGTCTAGATGTTACTGTGTCAAATGAGAGATCCTCACAATCATGTTACAAAAGCATGGTAATCCATGGAACTAAAAACAAATATGCCATAATCTTATACACAGGACATAATTACAACTTGAGTACATTAAACTCCAAAAAGAACATATTAATAACAACTCGCATGGTAAATAATCGCAAAGTGCATTTCCACACCAAAGAAAAAACAACTACCTGCATTGCAAGGAATTCACATTCCCTTTTGCTGAAGCTAAAGATTATGACAGGGTCGTATTGGCGTTGAATAATCATCTTCACCATCTTGAAAATGTCACTATCTTCACCAGCTCTACCATTGACCAGCCCCTTCTGCCACTTCCCGTTATCTTTCTTCTTGTCACCATCATTAGTTGGAACAAGGGCATTTAAAGCTTTTTGAAAACTGTCCTCACGAAATTTTCCCTTTTCATCCACCACCAAGTATAAACCATCACCTCCAGTAGGGAAAAGGTAATGCTGAAGGGGTGTGGGCCGATAATCTGTATAAACAATATGACATGGTTGCTGATGAACCTGCACTATAGGTTACCATATTAATTCCTTCATATCAAAAGCAAGTACTCATTTGACATGATAGATAATTATTTACATTAACGTAAGTTTGAGAATCAAGTTTGACCCAGTTTGATTAGTATCCCTCACTTCGGAGAATAAATTAACAGCAGAACAAAAAAGAGAGGTTATCATGCAAATTATACACAGCTAGCAGCTGTAGAAATTCTAATAAGGAAGCCTGCTTGTACCAGTGTATGATAAATATTTTATGTACGGGTATTCAGGACCACTACTAGAGATGGAAATTTTACCCGTTGGGGTGGGTACCAGGACAGGGATTCCCTGATTTGGCAGGTAATGGGGCAAGGACAGGGATTTATTTTCATACCCGAAGCGGAGTCGGGAATGGCATTACCTGCCCCTAATCCGAACCCCGATTAACGTTTTATATTAATTAATATATGTATATAGTGTGTGCATAAATAAATATATATATGTATACATTTATTATTAAATGACAAATATATTTTGATCTTTAATATTGGTTATTAATACAGTGACGATTCATTATAATTGTAACTTTAAAATGGATCGTTTTTTATTAAACGGGTACCCCAACGGGTTCCTCGAACCTGCAGGGGATTCCTTCCCCCCCGAACCCGTCAGGGATTAGTCTGGGCAGGGACGGGAGGCTTAAATGGGGGTCAGGGTCATGGTCTACTACACTCAAAGAGAAGCTACATTAGAACGTGTATATGTCTAGAACATAACAACACCGACTATCAAGTATCAACAGTATAACCAAACCAAATCAAACGAACTCAGTATATCGCATGTTGTGGAATTGGGGGCTTGGGGGGGTAAGGAACAGTACTCATCCACAAACTAAAACAGAAGCCACATAAAAGAAGTTCAGACCTCACATTACAACCAACATTATGCCTCCAATTATATCCATTGCAAATGGATGTTTTATATGTCTAAAATATAAGCACTTAAAAGAACACAAAAGACAAATATTCCAACATCTATTATTAACTTGAGAAGTAACTTACATGGTATAAGTCAACTAGGTCCAACCAATTAGAACCACATCCAACCGACCACAACGCTCAACCACTGAATGCACCAAATGCTACTTAGTTACTACATTTATTTTCCTAGTTATGTTACTTATGCTAATGGTTAGTTACCAAAAAAAGACCATCCTGTTTCCTATGATTCACTGATTTGACTGTACACAAAGCTTCACCAAATTTGACAAGCATTGTGTTTTTCGCTCCAATTAGGTATCTCAGTTAATTGAATGATCTGAAATCTTATGCAGCAACCCATGTCAACTCTAAAAATGTTATGCGATAATCCTTTTACATCAAATGAACTCAATGTGGGAATTCTTTAAAAAAGCAGAAATTATGTCGGAATTTTACCATAAAAGAGATTAATGTGGCAACCCTTCTAAAAAAGTTAAGTACCAAAATGAGAAAATAAAAACTTCATCAATGATTTTGTTTTTGATTCTTCAAGAATCGCCCAAAGAAGTGTCCACATTTAAAAAACACCACCCTCCACGTTTTACACCTAAGAAGGTGTCCTGCCTTGGTGCACACTTTATGACAACAATCTACCAAAACAAAAATCAACAAAACCCAAACACACCCGATATGTCCCTCGGAAGTAGGGTCAAGGGTGGGATGTACGCAGACTTGTCCTCTACCCTAAAGAGTAGAACGACCGTTTGGCTATTTCCGTGAATACCTTTGGCTTGTGAAAAGTGTTTGCAAAAAGATTTTGGTGAAAACCGAGTGCTCCAAAGGGTAACAAAATGGAGAGCATTTAAAAAGAAGAAATGGTATCTAAAACAAAAATCAATGGAAGAACGAACATCAAGATACCAACATTCTTCCAGTTGGTGCAATATATTTGCATTAAATACCAATGTTCCCTGCAACTGTTTTCAACATTTTCCCCTGACTCATATCTCTTGAGAGAAATCTTGGAATACCAAGTAATGTTGCTATAATAGTCTAGGAACTCTACGTTTCTATTGAGATGTATGATGAAAATCACATAATACAATCACTAAGAGAACCACAAAAAAGGATTTCTAATCTATCTCAGATATAAACCCTGAAAAATCGATCACATTTATTAGTCATTTATCAATTATGCTGGGCAGAAGTCTGAAAACTTGTAAATGTTCTAAGCTAAGGTATCATACTTAGTGACGTGTTGCAAGCATGCGAAAATAAAATCATGATGGTTATTGCAAAAAAAACCTCTGGAAGCAAGTTAGGCTTACCTTCGCAACCCAATCGGCAAATTCCTTTGCATTTGGAACTGTAGCAGAGAGGAACACAAAACGAGCATTTTTTGGGGCCATAACAATGCTCTCTTCCCAAACCACCCCTCTTTCTCTATCACGCATATAATGTACCTCATCAAAAATAACCCATGCCACCTCCCTTGTGACCTCTGATCCTTTGTACTGCATACTACGCCAAATTTCTGTGGTCATCACCTAAAAAGAACCTCAAAATTTATAAACAGAAAATTCAAACAGATTTTGTGGCACAAGTGGAAAGAAACAACATTACCAAGCAAGAAGCATTGGGTTCAATAGTAACATCCCCAGTCATCAAACCAACATCAGAGAACTCTTCTTTAAACTCTCTATACTTTTGGTTACTCAGTGCCTTTATAGGAGAAGTGTATATTACTCGTTGCTTATTCCGCAGTGACATTGCAATAGCATATGATGCCACAACAGTCTTCCCAGCTGATGTATGCGCTGATACCTGTAAAAATGAAATTTACCGAAACCAGCTTCCATGAATATCATACAGAACTTAATATTCTGATCGACAGAAAAACATGATGACCTAAAAATACTCCCTCTTTGCCCTGGAATAAAATACAAGGACATATACTTCTTTTGTGATCAAACAAATCAAATTTTGGTGCTTATCCAGATTTATGGGAAATCAAAGGCACTATGTTCAATCATATCAAATGTATGACTAGGAAAAAGGAATTCCGAAAATCATAATTCACAAGGCGAGTTATATTGCTACAAGGAAAATCGTAGTTTAGCTTCTATTTTCGGATCAAAGGAGCAAATGAAGCTGTTTTTCCTACTTTGAGGCAACAAATTTATTCCCACCATTCTCAAACTAAAGAGGCATACTTTTTGAGTTTTTACTTCCGGTGTTAAACTGGTTATTTTTCAATTTCATAACTAACATAGATTCTACCATTCATATGAGGTATGGCAAGTGCATAGGGATTTCTAATAAGTACTATTATGGTAGCAAATTTGTAAAAACCCATATTAGTTTAGCATTTAAATATTACTAGGATTTACATAAAAAAATCAAGTACCTCCTTTTTAACCTGGAGGATATACGATTTACAAAGCGAAACAATCAAACAACAAAATAAACTAAAAACAGTTACCATCACAGATTCTCCGGCATTCAGACAATTAATTGCCTCCGACTGAAAAGGGTCGAGAGTGAACGGAAATTCCTTAGCGGGCTTTGAATCTTCCTCGACATTCGACCGCCGAGGAACAGCAATGTAGTTGTCCGGGTATGAAACATCATGAACACAAGCAATCCCCGCGTCAGCTTCATCGTTGGTTCCCGTTAATCTCTTATCAGCGTTATTGTCTTTCTGTTGTTTGTTCGGTGGAGGTGTAGAAGTTGAAGGACCTTCCTCTAACGACTTCCTCTTGACTGATCCCATTGATAAGCTGTGAACAACTATTTTGGTATTATTGTACAAAAGGAATTTTGAAGCCCTAAAAATCAAGGGTTTATAGTTCCAATTGCCAACAAACAAGAAACCCTAGTGCAGGATGAGTCGATAATTTATATATATGCCTCAAAATCTACCTAAAGGAAACAGAAAAGGGGCGGCGAAGGTTTATGTTAGGGGCAGGCAGCAAATCGCCAACCGTGGGGGAACCCAAAACTCTCGAATATAAAAGATAGAGCGAAGTGCATTCTTGGTCCTTTGAGTTATGCCTTTTTCCCGGATTTGGTCCCTATGTTATATCCCGTTTTGGATTTCATCCTTAAGGTTGTGTTTGGTATACTGAACAGTGTGAGACAGGATAAGACAAAACACATTTGTCTTATGTTTGACGTGTCTTTATATGAAACAGATGTGGAATAAGTGTGTCCCTCTTAATCCCCCTAGAACTAAGAGAAAGAAGGAAGCATTTGACCAATATACCCCTAAAATTACAAAACCTACACACACTAGTCCGCCTCCACCCTCTCTACTCGTCTCCTTCATCAATCTCCTCTACTCGTCTCTTTCATCAAGGTCGACTCCTCTACCCGTCTCCTTCATCAAGATCGATCTCACCTCTACTCGTCTTCATCCTCTCAAGTAATTGATTTATGCTATTGTTTCTAAAATCAGTTTATGCTAATTGATTTAGGCTACTGCTTTCCAAAATCGATTTCTCGTACATCGATTTATGTTATTGTTTCTGAAACCGGTTGATGCTCCTGTTTTCTAAAATCGATTTATGATATTGTTTTCTGAAATCGATTTATGCAATTGTTTCTGAAATTTTGATATCCTTAATTTCTCCTAATCGATTTTGGTCACTATGTATCGATTTTGGCCACTGTATCGATTTTGGTCACTGTGTGTCGATTTTGATCATTGTGGTTAGGGGTGAGCATAGGCGGGTACCCGTCCTATTTGATAGGAACCGGAACCGGAACCGGAACCGTTGGTTCTTGAGATATTGGAACCGAAACTGCTTAGAGCGGTTCTTGAATTTTTGGAACCGGAACAGGAACCGCCGGGAACCGGTTCCGGTTCCGGGTACTCGCTTCCTAAAATATTAAAATTTTGTTTTTAGAAATAAGAAATAAAACATTGCCAAAACACTAAATAAATAAACAAAAATAAAAATTATACGGAATAATGGTTACAAATATTGTTTAACAATTACAAATCATAATAGACTAATAGGAAATGTTAAAAGTTTAACGATTACATACTATAATTGTAAATATTCAAAGTTTAATGATTATATATTACGTATCCAATTAAACACACAATTTGAAAAAATACGAATCATTTTATCTCGTGACTGCGATGATTCTAAATCTCGTATCAAATTCTCACAGTAAGAGGCCTCAGGCTCGAGAGTATGAGGCGTAGAGGCGGGACCAAAAATCTAATCTAGAGTTCTAAGTTCTTGGCCTAATTTAAATTTAGTATTAAAAGAAAACTAATTATTTTTTTTAATTGAAAAATACCGAGTACCCGCTGGTTCCGGTTCCGGGTACCCACCGGTTCTAGGTACCCGGTCCCGGAACCGGTTCCGACGGGTAACGGTTCAGAAAAATTGAGAACAAAACCGGAACCATTCTCAATCGGTTTCGTATTTTAGGAACCGGAACCACTCATATCGGTTCCGGTTCCGGAACCGGCGGTTCCAAGGCAGTTCCAGTTCTGCAAGTGGGTATCCGGTTCCGCTGCTCACTCTTAATTGTGCTCACTGGGTTTTAGAAGTTAAAACATGATTCATGAAATCGGTATGATTTCTATGATTGGAGTTTTTTATTGAAAAATGAATATACTAATTTGTGTCCATGGCTTTTCATTCGAAATCTAAGTTGACTTTAGGGTTGTTTAACCCTTTAATTCAGAAAACAGAGATATAGTTTGACTTTTAAAATTGAGTCAAGAAAAGGGTGGGCTTACTTTTTCTTTGCAAATAGTATGCCTTATTGTTTGTATACCAACATATATGCAAGTATAATGGTACAACTATGTGTCATAGTGGATGTTTGGTTTTTCCAAATGGCAATTCACATTTCATTTAGGATCATCTTGTATCTTTTGTGGTTCATTTGATCAATGTTTAATTTGTGATTCATGTATGTATTAGAACACATTATTACATTTACAGTATATGTAGATAATTGCTTTCATATGATTTTTTTCGTAGAATGGATCACAACCATCTAATTGTAGTTGTTAAGGTGTTGAAAGCTTATATCGACTTGCTCATACTTTTGACCAATTTTACGAATTGGTTAATTGAATATGAGTAAACACATCTTCGAATGAGAACTTTAAGACAAAGAACAATCACTAGATTTCAAATTAGATCGATATAGATTCAACACATCACACGTGAAAGTGACATTATTTGTGTAAATGACTTGCGAATAGATAAGAATGCATTTGTTATTTTGCGTGAGTTGCTAAAAACACGTAATGGCCTATTAGATGATGGTAATGTGACAACTGAAGAACAAGTTGCTATGTTTGTAAACATAGTAGCACATCACACCTAAAATAGATGTCTTCAAGTTAGATTTTATAGGTCCGGGGAAAACAATAAGTATGTATGTTCATCGAGTTTTAAGTGCTTTACTGCGATTCCAAGACATGTTGTTTATCAAGCCAACTCTGGTCGAGGATGATTGTATCGACAGAAGATAAAATTGGTTTAAGATAATCATTGTTAACTTCTCTCATTGTATGTAGTATAAAACATTTACCATTTATCTAAAACCAAATTATTTTGTTTATAGGGTTGTCTAGGAGCAATATATGGAACATATATTGAAATGACCATTCATAAGTCCGATAAACCAAGATACCAAACAAGAAAGGATCATATTGTGATTAATGCATTAGGTGCATGCACTCGGGGAATGAAATTTATCTATGTTTTATCCAATTGGGAAGGTGCGGCTACCGATTCTACAAGACTACGAGATGCAGTTGCAAGGAATAATGGTTTAAAGGTCCCATTGGGTAATTCCTATTTGGCCGATGCAAGATATGTCAATGGTAATGGATTTTTGGCATCATATAAAGGTACTAGGTATCATATACGATAATAGGAACACATTGGTCATACACCTAAAAATAAGGAAGAATATTTTGACATGAAACACTCATAAGCTAGGAATATCATAGAAAGGTGTTTTGGTATATTGAAGAAACGTTGGGCCATATTATGAAGTCCTTATTTCTATCCAATAAGACTTCAAGGAAGATTGGTCCTAGCATGATGCGCATCAATACGTAACGATGGATGCTCAAGTGTTAAATGAATACTTAAAGGCAATGTTTATATTTTTTATTTAATTATTTGGTATTTAATTTCATATGGATAGTGATTAACATATATATAAATATATTTATGCATTGTTTTTTCATATAAGCATCCAAGCAAAAACTATATTGCCAACAAACCATTTCCCCAATATGAGCGATTGAAAATGATATTTGGGAAAGATCGAGCTACATGATCGATGGTGGAATCGTGGATGCATTGGAGCTCATCAATCTAGAAAGCGAAATTGGTGCTGAGACCAAATAATTAATGTGCCTTTGTCTACTCCTCCTAATGGCGCTTTTGCATCCTTCATTCCACAAGATGTAAAAGCATCATCCAAAAAGAGAGAGTAAAGTTGGTGTTTCTGAAGATGCAATCAAGATTATTAAGGAATAGTCTAAGGCTGATTAGAAAGCCATCCATCAAAAGCAAGGGGCAAGTTTGAGAAAGGGAACTTTCCCTACACCATAATTTGCCAATAGGTGGCAAGAGCAGTAGATTTTGATGGAGTCTCACTTGGATGTTGGAGAGATCTATAGAATGAAGGGAGAAGGAACTCAATAGTCCTCTCTTCCTGGGGATTCTTCACTGGCTAACGTAGACTAATCCTCAATGCGGTTTAGGCTCCCTAGTTCAGTCGGTTGTCCGTAGGGGTTGCAATCATTATCCTAGGAAATGGATAAGTTGGTATCAGTTGTTGGTACTCTGGGTTTACAAAGTATGCCCGATGAGTTAAGCGACATGGATTTTGATGGTGACCAAGTTATTTCCATTATCATGTATTTTGCAGATAACCCGATTCAACTACGTCTTTGGAATGGCATGAATGCTACTTTCAAGGGCAAGGTTTGTGAGGATCATCTTAAAGAAGTTAGACATGTGATATTAGTTGGTAAACATTTGATCTCTCGTGTTTAGGTCTTTTGGTACACAATAGTAAACATTTTAACTTTTGTGTAAGATATGTGTTGATAAACATGGTGTTTAAATCTTTTGATTTATCAATGTGAGTTTTTTAATTAATATTTATTTTAGATATTTATTTTTGTATTTTTAAATAGTATTTCTTAACATTTAGATTGATTATTTAGTAAAAAAACATTAAACAACTTACTGGATGTAAATTGGTAATTTTAACCAATTTTATCATGTCCTATCATGTCTTACCAAACGCTGGACAACTGTTCTGTCATGTCTTGTTCTGTCTACGTACCAAATGCACCTTAAAGCCTAGTACCTGTGTTATGTCCCTTTTTGGATTTGGTTCCCAAAATGCATCAAGTATATCAGTTTTCATTATTTTGTGTTTTACATAATAGATAGGTCCCTATACTTAATACTATTAATTTTGGATCCGTTAAGTGCATCACGTACCCATCACATGAGGGGCAAACCATTCATTTTACCTTTTCCCTCTCTTTTCATCTTCACGATTACCAATATTCTTCCTCTCTTTCTCACTGTTCCATCATCACCTTCTTTTTCTGATTGATACTCCGAAGGTTCCTCCAATGATTCACAGCATACGTGGGTCACCTGTGATAACTCGAACATCATGGACCTCAACAAATCTGTATCGTTGATTCAATGGTTGTTCTATAATGCTAAGAGTTTACTTAGTTTCTCAACTTTTTTGATTCATCTCTTCCTAACTGTTTATACCAAAAATACATAACTATAATCTAAGGTTTGGATTGAGAGATTACTCAGCTAAAGATAAATCGTTCAAAGTAAATAAGACAAACAATATTAAAAAAGTAAATGAGACAAGAGATTTGGTGACTCGAGGGTAAAAACTGTGGACGACAATAGAAGTTGTTAA